CATTCTTCAGGTTCTCGCTAGTAGACAACACTCATTGCAGCTCCACTTCCTTGGACTCAAGTCTACTGACAACCTTCTTAAGTCGAAAAAAGTCATTATGCATGGCAAGTAGCTCTAAATCCTTAGCAACACAGGCAGACCAAAATTCTGAAATGGCATGCTCAAGGTCATGCATTAGCAACAGTTGGACTTCAATCTCCTTTTCTGCAACGCCATACTTCAAGTCACTGATCTCTTGGCGAGCAATCTCAAGTTGATGAGCAATGGGGTCAGAAACATCAAATCTTTTCAAAAAGGTAAGTTCAGACCCCAACTTTTTAATTTTGTTAGCAGCCGAGCAAGCTTCTGCTACCATAGTTGTCGTTATCACCTTAGCAACCTCGGCATCATCCTGCTCTATACGCATGTACTCAGCTGCCAAGATCACAAATTTCTGCATCATAGTAAGCAGAGAACCCTTCTGTGAGTAAGCTTCATGCCTTACGAAGAAACTAGAATCGATAACCTTGCTTAAGCCATCATCAAACTTGACACATGTTTCAATGTCCTTAAGCAGATCGGGCTTCAACAACGCACGGATGTCGAAAAACTCCCCTAAGGCTGGTCTGGCAGGCTGTTCACGGCTGCTCATATGGGCAGACGTTTCCTTCTTAACAAGAAGAGTCGGCCATAACACCACATTGGCAGTGGAATCGCCATCCTCGCTCTTCGTCACTACACGTACCTCTAGAATCGGATCGGTCTTGGGCATGGAAGGCTGTCTTGGAATAAAACCAGGCATATAGGGCACGACAGAACTCATCTATTGTGCAATCCTGTTAGCAACTGTTCTAGCAACCCTAGGAGCAACAGGCTTCACAGAGAATAAGTTAAGTCAACCATGAGCCTTCCAGCTGTGGATGAACCCTCGCGAGTAGCAGAGGAGGTCTTCGACTTTTTCTCTACTGACGGCTCTCGAGCAGGGAACAAAAATCTCTTTCTCCTGCCTCCACTAGCAACAGGCTCTATGGTAACGATTAGACGAGCGAATGCCTTACCCTTGATATTCAGCAGGAATCTCAAAAGTGATGTGCACCTTCTTCATGTCTGGAGAAATCTTGGGAGTTGAACCGAATTCCAAATCTACATAAACAGAAGAGAAAAAAACCAGAAGGCAGTTCAGCCAAAAGTATAAAGCAGTTTAAAGACTAAGTAACCTACTTACTATCGATGAAAGCAGTCGGAATGCGCAGCCCAGGCAAGGAATCGTATTCCTGCTATTCGCTAATCTCTAGGGTCTCCCTAGCCTAATCATGATCTTTTTTGCTCAAGTGATCGAAGAGCCTAAGATGGGTCATCAGCTGCTCAACATCATCGATGTGACCTATGTCAAAGAAGTACCTTCGTTGACAGTCAGGTCCAAGTCAAAGAACATGCTTAAGTTGTGGAACTCCACTATTGCATGGATCGTATTCGGAGAGTACTGAGCAGGAGCACACTTCGTAGAGCACATCACCTCTTGGAAGAACCGAGGCATAGGAACGGTGAACCCCAACTTGAAGTACTAGGGGTGGAATTGATAGCTTTCCTAGAGCCACACAGTTCACGACTGCTACCATCCTTGACCCGCTTCACGCAAACCCCAAACGGAATTGCATGCTTAAACATCTCAAGGGAGTCTTTGAACTACTCATCAGAACCTACCTTGATGTTAGCAACCCCGAAGTAACCTAGCTTACTTGCAGATCTGCCCTGGCGATACAATGGCGAAATAAATTCATCATTCTTGTGGCTCGAGGAAGACATGTTCGAAAAAATCCTACAACGGCGCAAGGAAAATTTGTTAGAAGGCTACTCGAAGGAGAAACAAAAATAAAAAATAAAAAATAAGACCAAGACCGAATGAGCGAAGTAGCCATGCCAAGCCACACGGCCTGGTCTCTTACGCTTAGCCCAAATGACCACATTGCAAGGCAAATGGGTAGGCGCCCCAGGACTACCTACCTCTCTCTTTCCCTTGCGGCCTAAACCAACTGGAAAGGGGCTGGCGCCCCCACTCCTCCCTCTTTCTCTTGCATCTCTTACTGCTGCACAGGCCCTAGCCCATGGCCAGTGCCTCAGCACCCAAGTCCATGCACCTGGCCCAGCCTGCCAAGCCGCAGCATACCAACCGCAACAATTAAGCTGCCACGGCAGCAATAGCACAACAAGCCGCTACCTACACTTTTTCCAAGTCCTCAACCCCCATCAAGCCAAAGATTCAAGCCCGAGGCTCAGCAAAATCAAGAAGAAGGAGAAAATTAATTTTTTTTTCTTACCTTGGAAAAGAAGAAAAGCAACGGAACACAATTCTTTGCACAGGCAAGAGAAGAAGATTGCTAAGGGAGGGGGAACAAATATCCTTTGGCTTTCTCTCTTTCTTGCGGGGTTTTATTTGCACTCCATACACCGTGCTTGACGCAAACTTAAATAGGTTTTGGTGGCAATTACATTCTCTTTTCTAGAAAAATTTAAATTCCAAGTCAAAGAGGGAATCTACATCAAATTGGGACACAAACTCCATTGCAGCTTTGGATTCCTACACCTCCTACCTTTTCCTGCGAGCAGCCCAACAAGTGTGGGGGCATTTGTGGAGCCAAAAATCATGAAGTTGACACGTCGATTATTCCCCAATTAAGACAAGACCGGCCCTATTAAATAAGCAGGGAGCAGTCCCATTCACCATGCATAGTTGAGGTAAAGCAGGCAGAGATTAACGACTACTCAAGGCACCCTTGTCCGTATGAAAAGTCAACGGTATTTATGATAGAATAATCCCTTATTCTTTTCATGAATACATTCCCAATTAGAAAATACCTTTTTCAAGTAAGTAATCCTAATCCCATTTATTTAGGATATTTACCTAATTACTCCAAGATATTTATTTACACAAATATTATGGAATATTCTCACCCAAATTCCACCCTAGGGCCGGCCCACTTCCTCCTTTTCACCTATAAATGCTCCATTTATCTCCAAAATTCAAGAGGCATTTCGCTACCCACAAACACTCAAACATATTCTTCTCAGAATTCTAACTTTGACATCGGAGATTCTTTGGTCAAAGCCCCTCCCCCCCCCCCCCCCACCCCCCAAAATTTATCGTGGGCGCAAAAGGCTTTTGGCCTTAATCTTAGGTGTTATTATTTTGCAGGTGCATTTTTGTCAAAAGAAGAGACGGTGGAAACTTGCATCCGCAACATGCATCCTTCTTCTAAAAATAAAAGTGTTTACAATGTATGGTTTCTTTGAATACAATGAGAACTCAAAGAAAATTTGAACTGAAGAAAATATATGGAAAATAACTTGCTTTTCCGTCTTCGGATTCTTCTCTTATAGACTTGGAAAATAAGACTTGGATAACTTAGATTACTGAGTTCTTTACTATTAAAAGCACGGGAAAGCAAATGCTTTGCTTTTACTGTTGATGAATAGTAGACTGTTTGAATAATTGTTGCTTTTCTATTGGCTCTGATCCGCAGAGACTTGGAATTTCCAACATGGATATACATCTATCGGAAATGGATTGTTCATAAGTTTATGCGGCTGCTTGAAATGTTGTGCGCCAGCCATTTTGGAAAATTTGTTGATGTGATAGACATGTATTAACGTGCATGTTTTTATTCTCGCTAGTCGACGCGGATATATGTCGATCCTTTTTTTTTTCCAGCAAATGTTTCAATGGATATATTTGGAGCATGTAGCAAAGAGATTAAGATGATGAGTTTAATATTTGGTATAACGACACTCATATGCGTGCTATGATGAAGATGCATACATTTTTGCTTTTCAAAGAGTGAGAGGCTTCTTCAACATTGAGGTTATCATTGCCACTTTCTTTGAATAATCAATTATTTTTTTTAGCGATGATGTATTCCCAATCGATAACAAAAATTTGGAAAAAGAAAACAGGTTTTTTGTTTCTTTTAAGAAGAGATTGCCGTTCGTGCTGCCGCGTGTTTTTATCTCTTATAATAATTTAGTTGCTAGTCGAACTGGACTCGCATTTTAAGTACGTGGTAGTCATTAATTATGGATCAACAAAAACATATGGCAACAAACTAACATTTCTCTTTTTAGATCAGTGAGACTGCATTGTAGATAAATGTCATTTATTTTTATGTTGCAAGTATTTCTCGTAAATCATAACATTTCCATAATGTAAGCATCAAACTCAAATATATAAAGATTATGTATATAGTGGGAAGACTTTGTAAGACTTCTATGCCTAATGCAAAACACTCATACAAGATGTCATTTATTTTCATGTTGAAAGTCATGCTTAAAGTGAGACCACAGAAAACTTATCCAAACCTAACAAGAGGAAACACAAATGGTTGGGATGGTTGTACCCAATAGGCCATAGGCCATTGCTTCCTCGTTGAGAAAGCCTTTATTTATTCGTCCTTTCTTTAGGGCTATGAGTACTTAATCTTTACTCGTTCAGATTTTGATAAGGAAATGTGGATGCAAGAAAGTGGTGCTAAATTATATAATGTTAAAACAACAAACACCGTTGGTTGTCAATTAGAGAGTGTGTCTAACTTGACTCTGTGTGTGGCTTGGCTGAGTTGAGTTGACTTGATTTTTGTATGTGTAAATTTTGCCTCCACCTCCACATGTACTAAACATAATATATACTATCTCATTCACAAACCCTAAACATTTTTTATTCTTAATAAATTAAACTGAAGAAAAATCAACATTGCAATTTCATACTTGGGTTCAAATATAAAGATTGATTTTTTCAGTCAACCAAATTGCATCGAGTTGAATTATGAGATTGAAAGGACCCTAATAACACCCTCGACCATGGCTGCATGTATATTCACTAATTTTTTGCAAGCATACATTTTGAATGCCGATATTTGAAACAAACGATTTGGATCATGAAATTTTGCTATGGAATGAGCTCAAATGAGCAGGTAGTGCCATATTATTAACTAGCTCAAAAATATTTGTAATGAGACACATCTTCCACATATACTTAATTTGAACCGATTCAATGGTGTATAAAGAGCCTACACTACATAATCACATTTGTGATCAAATAAATAAACAAATTATTATAATCGAAATCCCATTTTGCTTCTCCATTGTATGAACTTTTCTATACATTTTGGTATAAAGAATTAATTAAACTGTGTAATTAACAGTAAAGTAACTTAAACCCAACTGTTTCCTTGATTTTCTGGGCTTCATCATCATCGATTTTTTCACCACCAGCATCATCATCATCCATCATCACCATCATCATCATCACCATCACCATGATCATCATCATCATCATCATTATCATCATCATCTCTTAGACTATCTGAACAAGACAAATGACCAGAACGCTATCAAAATAGTAACCCCAGTAGCAATGCAGATCATGTCCAAAGCCTTCTCTCTCCTCTCCTTTATCTCTCTCCTCTCTCTCTTCATCTCCAAGTACTCATCGAATCTCGCCTTCCCGTTTACCTCCTTCCTCCTCTTCCCTCCCTCGATCGCCCTCTGCAGAAGTAACAAACTCTCCCTCCCGTTCAAGTGATTCCCCTCCATTCCTTCCACCTTCATGCTCACCTCTCTCACGTGCAGCTCCCCTCCTTCGCTTCCCTTGCACATGACCACCATCCCGCACTGCACATACTCCCCCTTCTTCTCCGCCGCCAAAATCGTGGCGAAGCGCAGCTGTATCTCCCCCGTTAGCCAGTGCCGCTGCACCGTCACCGCCCTCCGGCTCGACAAGTTCGCCGCGCGTTTCCGGGCCCGGTCGATCAAGATCCAGCTCAGGCTCAAGTTGTCCTCCAAGTGCTCCAACGACTTCTGGTCTTCCCCGACATGTCGAATTGGTGTTGGGACGGTTTCCTTTTGGTCAAGTAAGTCAACTCGGAAGGGCGAGCAGAGGAACCACCCGGACTCGGTCTCGGACTCTTGAACTTTCGAGAAAATGACCTGGCCTTTGTAAAAAATATCGACGGCGGAGATTAACTCCGTGGTGGGACACGATGGGCTGAAATCGAATTGGGAGGGGGAGTAGTCGAGGAGCGGGAACGAGTCTGAGAAGAAGGAGCGGTGACCGGCAGGGAAAGTGGAAATGAGGTCGTCGACTCGAGGATCGGTTATTGAAGGCCACGTGGTGGTGTTGACGTCCCGCCAGAGTTTTTCTTCGGCGGAGCAGGCGTGTAATTCGGAGGAAGCGCAGGCGGCGGAGGCCAAGGTCTGGCCGTCGAGGCGGGTGAGGATGTGAGCCGTGATGATGTCGGGATGGACGGAGGAGATTGAAGCTCTGTCGCCATGATCGACGGCCGGTACAGAAATGCTCATTGTGAAAAGAAAAAAAAGAATAATTGTTGTGGTTTTAGTTTCTCTGGGTCTGATTGGATGCAGAGAAAATGCAGTGAAGGTTTTGAGGTTGTTTTTGTGTTGAGATGTGACAAGGAAGGGTGTGGAGGGCGGGTTTTATAGCGAGGACTGAGAGGGGAGTAAGCCAAAGCTGAATGGGTCAAACAACGGCTTTCAAGCTACAAGGTTTTTGAAGCTTAATTAATTAATTAATTAATTAGTTAAACAATAATTAAAGTAGTTGCAGTGAAGGAGCAGGCAAATCTCTCTTTGATTGGATATGTGTAATTGAACACAAGCGTGTTTCATATATTTCCTTTGGTTTTAAATAACGAAAAAAGAAGAATTGAACAATCTGTGTTCTCTTTGGTTTTTATTTAGGTTGGTTGTTTATTGTATTGTTTTTTGGTGGGAGTCGAGGAGTGTTTGGTTTCACGTATTCTTTTTGAGTTCTTTGGCAATTTTTATATATTATTTACATAGCCTGTTGTTTTCGGCTTTACCAGACCCCAACAGTAGTTGTGGGTATGTTCTAGTTTTGTGTTTGGTTTCAAGTACAAAAACTTATGTACGTATTTATTAGTCTTTGTTTTCCTTGGTTCACTTTAGGCTTGAGAAACGGTCCTCTTTGTAGTATATATGTCATACATGTTATCATAACGGGTCGTATTGTATTAAATTTAATATCTTAACGAGTTTTTGTTGTCTACAAAAATTACAAAACCTACGTGGCGCGCAGGCCGAGTAACTAATGAGCTAACTACGTCCTTCGGTTGAATGCGGGGCGTGCCAACTCGTCGGCCGAGCTCGGCCGAGGAGTAAAATGTGATGTCGCGTTGGGTGCGCTATCGACTTCTGTATCTTGCGATTGCGACCGAGGAAGGAACGCTCTCGGTCTCTGGGTTCTATAGCCTGAAGACGAGGCTACTAATTCTACGGAGTTCACAGGTCGTTGGATCCTGATTCGGTCACTGTGATTATATTCATAAGAGTATAAGCACGCCGAATCGAGACCAAACTATATGGGCACAGGTACTCGAATGTGATGTATGTCTTGATGGTAAACGTAGTTCGGCCGTCGGAATGCCGAACCCTGAAACTTACTTGCGAGTATCCAATCATAAACTCACTCGACGTCCAATACGCCGAGCAATGCAACTCGTAACACCCAACTATGCCGAAAAGGCTTAGTTAGATGACCTCCACCAACAAAGGTTCGAAAACCCTTCTCGGCCGAGACTTAGATAGATAATCGGTCGACCTCGACGCAGTGCTGTTTATCCAAACTGAAGGTGTTTCTCGGTCGGCTGATTCTGCGGCGGCAGTGCTGTTTATCCAAACTGAAGGTGCTCACCGGTTGCTTCCACAGTGCTGTTTATCCAAACTGAAGGTGTGTCGGCAGGAAAAGAAAAGGAATTCGGTCTAGTAGGGACGGGAGTGACATTACCCTTGTACGTATTACGTGTGTGCGCTGGAGGGTTTGCCGATCGATCAAGGCCGGATACGATTGCAGGCCTGTGGCCGCAATTCGGTCGAGTTTGCCCCCCATGAGTTGTGCTCCGGAGGCGATCTGGGCGAGTTCATCGGCATCGGTGTTGTGGATTCGTGAAATATGTTCAAACGTGATCCGTTCGAATGACTCGGCCAGGTAGGTAGCGACCATGTGATATGGCGCTAAAGTACAACTCATGCAACGAAAAATGCCGTTCAATTGGTTAATCACAAGTTCGGAATCACCAAGGACAAGAACACGGGAGGCCCGTAGATCGTGTAAAACGTGGAGACCGATAATGAGTGCTTCATATTCGGCCTGATTGTTCGTGCAGCTGAAATCCAACTTGAGAGAGAAATACCATCGGCAGTGGTTGGGCGACTGAATTGCGATGCCAACACCCGCCGAGGTCGAAGTACTGGACCCATCGAAATGCATAGTCCAATGGTTATCGCGTGTGGTGACTAGACCGATGTCAACAGTGCCCCCTTCCAAGCCATATGGGGAAGGGTGCTGGGCCAAGAAATCGGCGAGAGCCTGCCCCTTGACGGCTTTTTGGGGTACGTACTGCAGGCTGAATTCAGACAAGGCAAGTGTCCATTTCCCGATTCGGCCTTTAACAATAGGCCGAGTGAGCATGTAACGAATTACGTCTGTCTGGGCGATGACCTGCGTAACGGAGGGGAGCATGTAATGCCGAAGCTTGGACGCGGCAAAAAACAAAGCTAAGCAAAGTTTTTCGACCGGTGAATAATTGAGCTCTGGTGCATTCAGATTTCGGCTAAGATAAAAGATAGCCTGCTCACGTCCTACGGTATTGTCTTGCGCGAGGAGACAACCAATGGATTCGGCGGATGCCGAAATGTATAATTTAAGGGGTTTGTTTCGACAAGGTGGAACCAGCACGGGTGGGGTTGAAAGGGCCACCTTGATTTGCGTGAATGCACTCTGATGTTCTTCGCGCCAAACAAATTTATCGGTATCCTTAAGTTTAAGGAGAGTCGAGAATGCCTTCATTTTACCGGCCGAATTGGCGATGAAACGGCGGAGGAAGTTGATCTGCCCAAGTAACGACTGCAATTGTTTCTTTGTTGTAGGAGGAGGGGCGCTAATGATGGCGCGGGCTTTATTTGCGTCGACCTCGATGCCGCGATGGTGCACCAAAAACCCTAGGAAATTACCGGCCGAAACACCGAAAGCACACTTGGCTGGGTTCATCTTAAGATTATTCCTGCGCATGCGAAGGAACGCTTGCCGCAGGTCATCCAGGTGCGTTTGGCGGCGTTTCGACTTTACCACCACGTCGTCGATATAAACTTCGACGATGGTCCCGATTAAGTCGTGGAAGATCATGTTCATGGCTCGTTGATATGTGGCGCCGGCATTCTTGAGGCCGAATGGCATGACTACCCATTCGTAAGTACCGAGTGCCCCTGGGCAACGGAACGCCGTTTTGTGGACGTCGGCTTCGGCGATGAAAATCTGGTTGTATCCCGCATGGCCGTCCATGAAGGATAGCAGTTCATGATTAGCTGCGGCATCAATTAGCAAATCTGAGATGGGCATTGTATATTCGTCCTTGGGAGTCGCCAGATTTAGGTTACGGAAATCGGTGCAAATGCGGAGGGCACCGTTTTTCTTCAACACTGGGACGATATTGGCCAACCATTCGACGTACCGAGCGGTTCTAATAAATCCGGCCTTGAGAAGCCGAACCAATTCTTCCTTAATGCCGAGTTGTAACTCGGTCGAGAATCGGCGAGGGGGTTGTCGAAAAGGCTTACAGTTGTCTCTGATGCGTAGCTCATGTTCTACCAGGTTTCGGTCGAGGCCTGGCATTTCATGGTAACTCCACGCGAAACAATCTTTAAATTCCTGGAGTAACTTTCGGAGTTCGACCTTCGTGGCCGGTGGAAGTAACGCGCTGATAAACAATATGCGAGGATCATCGGTTGTGCCGACGTTAACTTCTTCTAATGGGTCCTTGACTTGAGGCCGATGGTCCTCGAGTTCGGCCGGGGCAGCTCGAACTTTATCAAGAGACAAAACAGGGCCGTCATCTGCTTCGGCCAAAAATTCAATTAAATTGATTCCGGAATGTGGTTGCTTGGTAATGGCGTACCAATGGGCCGGCAGACGTTCCATTGTTGACGAAACCGCGGCCTGACGCTGTTCTTGTTTGGTGTGCTCAATCATCGGCATTGGGGACCAAATCTGCCAAGCCAAGTCTCGCCGAATCCTGTTGGACAGTCTCGGCGCCGACCTCAATCACTTTCTGCACTGAAATTCGCGTCGGCCGCCCATCCTCGTTAAGACCTTGGAGGGTGATGTAGCCGACGTGATCGTCATAATAGCGAGCCTGAATCATGTTGGTCTCAAATGGTTGATTATCGGCTGGATGGATGGTAACCGATTTGCCATCCCAGAAGATGAGAACTTGGTACAGTGATGAAGGAATGCAACTGGTTTGGTGGATCCAGTCTCGACCAAGTAAGGCGTTATAATCGGTCTTGGAATCAATTATGAAGAATGCCGTCATGTGTTGGCGACCGGCAATGCTAACCTCCAATGGTAACACTCCTTTGGTCTGAGACTTGTCACCAATGAAGCTGCTCATAGTGATCCCTGACGGAATGAGTTCATTATCCGAACGGCGCAAAGCCTTCATGACAGATATTGGCATAATGTTGACTGTGGCCCCACAGTCGACAAACACTTTGGAAATAGGGAATCCTTCGATGTGAGCCGTGATGTACAACGGCTTCAGGTGTTGGAGATTAACCGAAGGGGAGCGAGGAAATAGCTCGGCCAAAGCCGCCTTAAGGTTGTCCGTGCTTCGGGTTTCTCGGTCGTCATCGTTTGCGATGAAATCGACTTGTGTTGCCTCCTCGGCGACCACATCCCCATCCAAGAAATTCGACTGGGGTGTACTTGGTTGGAATTCGGCTGGTAACACGTGGACCATAATGATCTCCATTTGTTCGAGGACCGAATGACCCATTGGATCGTGGTCATCGTCTTCTGCCGAACTAGCCACAGTATCAGCAGGCGGAACATCCTCGATCAAGCTTTCAAGTGCCTCGGTAAGAGCCGGTATCCGAGACGTGGGAACCGAGTCGAATGTGGTGTGGCTATTTTCCTCGACCATGTTGACTGTCGAAGATTTATGTTGGTCCTTTGTTATACGGGCTCGTTCTTCATAGGCAATGCGGGCGTTCCTAGTGTCGAGATATGTATCCAACCTTGCTATTCGTTTTTCTTCGTCGGCCGTGAGGCCGAAAAGTGATACCGCCGAGAAAACTTCGAAATGATAGCGCAAATGCTGAAGGTCATCGAGCGAGAAAGGTAATTCGGCGGTGTCGATATCTGTATAAGGATCAACATCAAAACCAAGTACCCGAGCTTCCCGTATATGCTGGAACCTTGCCTTAATTGCTGGGTCGGAGGTTTTCTGAATGATTTGCTCGGCATCAGGGCAAGTGAGAGCTAGGTCGAGGGCTTCCTGACACTCCTTGGGTAGTCCGTACAAGTCATTGGCGGAGTATTTCTTATGAAACTCTCGCATGTATTCCAAGGATTCACCGAGGAATGGGGGATGTAAGTTGCGCCGTACTTTGATAAACGGTTCGCGCGGTGGTGACGGGGAAATCTTCCTTTCGGCCTCTTGCGTGAAGTGTTCTAGCCGAGCTCTAGTTTCCCCAGGCCGGAGCAGGATTTTGATACGTTTCTCAGCATCCTCAATGGTGGTTTCAAAACCGGCAGCGGCTACTTGCTTCCCTTCGGCCAATTCGGTCATGATAGTCGGGGTTGGCCGTTCACTTATGCTTTCCGCGGCCTTCTTTGGTTGCCACTGGTTGGCAGTGCTGGCCTGCGCTTCTCGTCGCCGAGCCATGCAATCAATCCGTTGACGGCGACGTTTTTGGGATTTAGACAGTGCTGTATATAAACCAGTCGGGGAGTTGTAACTGTACCAGCGTTGATCCGATGTTCTGGGTGGTTTGAAGGTTTTGCGATCGGCTGACGAGCTGGAACTGTTGGTATTGTGCGAGTAGTAATCCTCATTATAGAAAGGCACGTCGAAATCAAGACGCCGCCTGACTGAGGCCTGGTCTTTCGGCCGTACTTGTGGGCCGAGTCGATCGAACACTTGACGTCGCGGACCAACTTCCTTTGGTGCTGTGGTAGGGGCCGTGGGTGTTGTTGAAAATGTCTTCTTCCCAGGTTCAATCGGTGTTTTACAATGGTCACATAAAACCTTTGATTCATGAGTTTCGTCGGAACTCGACCCCGTCATAGGCTCATCGGCGAGGGGCCTCGATTGTTCCGTGGGTGGTGCATTCGAAAATATATCCAGTTTTAGCCTTGTTTGACCATTCTGTTTACGGATATGCTGCACCGGGATGTATTCGGCCTTCCCTTTGTTTTTAGGAAGATGAGCATCCACCATACCAATTGTTGTTGAAGGGAAGGGATTGACGTCGACCGCCATCTGCTTTTCCGGAAATTTCAACTTACCTTTCTCGATCCAACTTTGGATTGTATCCCGGAACACGACACAATTATTTGTTGCATGCTTATTAGAATTATGGTACTTGCAGTATATCTTTCCTTTCAATTCATCGGCCTTAGGGATAATATGTCCCGGCCGAAGCTTGATGATCTTTGCCGCCAATAATTGGTCAAAAATTGCATCGGCCTTGGTGATGTCGAAAGTGTATACTTTTGAAGATTTACTTATGTCCTCGGCGGCCGAATAGGCTTTGGTGTCTTTGCCGTGTACTTGAGCCAAAGCCTTACAGACGTATGGTTTGTCTATTACTATCTCGGCTGCATCCACACTGACGTACTGAGGGTCCCCGCTTTCGGCCGAGGCATAGCTAACCGTGGGGTTCTTATACAATGTTCCCCGTGATGGTGACTTCGATATCTTTTCTTCTCGGAGCAGATAATCATACTGTTCGACGTGTTGAGCAAGTTCGTACATATCGCGAATGTTTGCCCCCAGGAACTTCTTTTTGTACTCCACGTCTAATCCGTTGAGAGCAATCCTGACGAATTCTACTTCGGGGAGTGGTACTCGGCACCAATTCCTGGCCGACTTGAACCTTGTTAAGTACTCCATTGAAGATTCGTCGGATGCTTGAGCCATCCTGGCCAAAGATGACACGGACATCTCCATCCCTGGCCGATAGAATTGTTCATGGAACTTTTCGACCAACTCCTCCCAACTCTGCACAGAATTGGGTGGAAGATTAATGTACCAGGCGAAAGCTGATCCTGTCAATGAAAAATTAAACAGACGTAGTTTGTAGAAGTCGCTATTAACGTCTCCACACTGCGCCGTGAACCGAGCCACATGTTCTAATGAGGACAAAGATGATTCCCCGGCGAAGAGGCTGAAATCAGGGATCTTAAATCCTCGTGGGTATTCAAACTTTTCTACGTAAGCCGGGTATGGATGAATGAATTTTGGAAACTTCGGCCCCTTCTTCAGGGCCGAATCAATCATTCTCTGGACCTCGGTCATGTTCACGGAAGCGGCTTCTTCTCCCTGGCTTAGTCCCTCGGATCTATTTCCTGGTCCTCCTCTTTCTAAGGTGACCGGTTGCGGTCGAACGGACGCTCTCTCGGCTGGTATGGGCACGTTCGTCGAGAGCTGCCGAGGTTGGCCGACCTGGCCATCTTCGAAGGCTTTACTAACTAATATTTCAAGCATTCTGGTCTGTGTATCGTTGTTACTTCGTATTGCTTCTAGCAAATCATTCATCTTTTGACCAATCGACTGCTCGACCTGACGATACTGCTCATCAAGTCGTCTCCGAAGAAACGACCTAGTTGGTGGATCAGAGCCTTCTCCACCATCGTCGTCGCAGTCTTCCACTATCCCCTCCACAAATATGGGCGTCGTTTGATTCGGGATCGCCGCGTTGTGAGGTTGCCCGCCGAGACAGATCTCATTCTCTCGGCGTGTCACACTTGTAGCCTCAGGTGGCAAAGCAATGACCGGATTTTTTGCTGGGTGCGAATCCTGCCCAATGCCTTGCACTGGTAAGTCAGCTGTTGACTTTCCCATGTTTGTTTTCTTCTTGGTAGACCGTGTCTCTACGGTCATGAACTCCGAAGGTTTAGCACAATGGTCCCACTGGGCGTGCCAAAATGTTGTCTACAAAAATTACAAAACCTACGTGGCGCGCAGGTCGAGTAACTAATGAGCTAACTACGTCCTTCGGTTGAATGCGGGGCGTGCCAACTCGTCGGCCGAGCTCGGCCGAGGAGTAAAATGTGATGTCGCGTTGGGTGCGCTATCGACTTCTGTATCTTGCGATTGCGACCGAGGAAGGAACGCTCTCGGTCTCTGGGTTCTATAGCCTGAAGACGAGGCTACTAATTCTACGGAGTTCACAAGTCGTTGGATCCTGATTCGGTCACTGTGATTATATTCGTAAGAGTATAAGCACGCCGAATCGAGACCAAACTATATGGGCACAGGTACTCGAATGTGATGTATGTCTTGATGGTAAACGTAGTTCGGCCGTCGGAATGCCGAACCCTGAAACTTACTTGCGAGTATCCAATCATAAACTCACTCGACGTCCAATACGCCGAGCAATGCAACTCGTAACACCCAACTATGCCGAAAAGGCTTAGTTAGATGACCTCCACCAACAAAGGTTCGAAAACCCTTCTCGGCCGAGACTTAGATAGATAATCGGTCGACCTTGACGCAGTGCTGTTTATCCAAACTGAAGGTGTTTCTCGGTCGGCTGATTCTGCGGCGGCAGTGCTGTTTATCCAAACTGAAGGTGCTCACCGGTTGCTTCCACAGTGCTGTTTATCCAAACTGAAGGTGTGTCGGCAGGAAAAGAAAAGGAAAAAATCTCAAGGTGTTTGAGAGGTTTCGCGCAGGGCAATTGTATGCTGATTGTGTGTCCCTTTCTATTGCGTAATTTCTTGTATTTATAGCACTTCGCTCCTTGATTCCCATTCTGATTTGGATTGGGAGTCCTTGTCTCATCTCACCTTTAACTCAAACAATCCTAGTCCTACTGGGATTCTGAATTCTCCTCCTTTTGAGGCTTTATCCCTTGCTGGTCGAGAATCCTGGTCGCATCAGGATTTCCTCGACCTTTCCTCATTTATCTGGACTACTTAAGATAGGATCTGGCCGACCCTACCAGCTAGTCCGAGTCTCATTATTTGGCCCATAGCATGTGTTATTACCTTGGGCCGAGCACATCCTGCTGCTCGGCCCAATCATAATATTTTGGGCCCAAACAGTTTTTAACATGTGATCCAATAACGACTTAATTCATTAATAGGTCATGTATGTTTAACGGGTCATGCAAGAAATTATCAATACTATATTTAACAGTTTTTACAACGAAGAACATTTGGTTGCGCAAAGAAAATTTCGTCCCATAGATATTAAAGCGACGAAATCTTCGTCGCACAAAGGTCGTGAAAAAACACCCTGCGACGAAATTATGAACTTCATCACACAACAAACGGCCGCGCGATGAAATGAGGTTTCGTTGCAATCAATGTATTGGAACGAAGCCCTTGGTCGCAGGAAGAATAAGGGTAACGGGGTACTCATTGGGACAAGATGACAGTGTTAGTAAAGACATTGCGCGACGAATAGTTTCGTCCAGTAAACATTCATGCAACGAAAAAGAATTAATTTTAACATTATTAAATTGTTGAACTTTTGTCGTATAAATGATTAAAGTTTTTGTTGAGTGTAATCTAGTGCAAAGAAGATTTTCGTCATGCAAAATTATATCTTTTTATTTTTTTGGTTCTGGTTACGTTTTTCATTTAAAATAATAATTAAATTGTAACTATAAAAATAAATAAAAAATTAAAACAAAAGATTTATGCAAGTAGGAAAATGAAAATCTATTGAAATATGTATTGAAAATCTATTTGGCCATAGATGGCGGGCTGTTGGATGTCTTGCGGCTAGAGGGGCTCGGAGGTCTACTGGTCGGGGTGCTAGGTCTGCTCTGGGTTGAGGGGCTCGAAGGTGGACAGGGCAACAAAACCTGGTGGGAGACGGATGCAGGACGAGCTGAGGGCCTCTATGATAAGCGCAAGCTTACTTCTCAGGTTAGCCACTTCATGTGTCAATGTTGTGACCTTGCCCTTTGACTGCATGGATGAAGAGGCCCAGTTTCACACTGACGAGCATGCCCCATTCCCCTGCAATACTTCATCTACCTCCGACTGAGGGTCTGATCCATGGTCTTTGTCAGTAAAAGAAACCTCGCATCCACGGGTGGATCAACAGACTCGACCAGGGTGTTAGGGGAAAGCTGGGAAGTGGACACCTAAATAATGGATTGGCTTTTCTCCACCAACGTTGCCTAAGACAATAAGATAGAAAATTTTAATAATAATTAATATTGAATTAATTTTTATATATACTTGAAAGCATAAGAGACTAATTAAGAATTCAATTATATTTACATGCAATTGCTTGGCCAACTCATCCTCGGGTCGAACATAAACATCCTTAAAGAAGTCGATCTAGGTAATTTTCAACCCCCCTGAAAACAGAAAAAGATAAGAAGAATGTTAGTGCGCAAAAAAGAAATTAATATTTGTCACATTTAAAAATTGGAATATTAACACTTTATTACCTGTCGCGCCTCCATCCTATATGATAAGGGCCTTGAACTCGAGTGGTGGAGAAAAGTCTTCTTGTCCTAGTTGATCTTGTCGGCTTTTGCCTTCTTCTATTATACAAAAAATGAAGGTATTAGTTGTAGTATTAAACAATATTTTGTATCTAACCAACAGTTACAATAGTTGAAGCCCACAATTTGGCATCAAACACGGAATTGAAGCATGGAACATATTTTAATCAACAAAAAATATTTTATCGATTTAAAGAATAAGGAAATGAACGGAGTTTTTTTTTTTTTATATTTTACCTGGCCGCGAGCCCTCAGCCACCAATGCGGATGCCAATGCCGATGTCTTGTCAAGGGTGCAGGGGGCGTCGGTGACTTCGCCACGTGCTAAGGGGAAGCGCCACTGAAGACGTCATTGACGTCGGTGCCTAGGCGACCCGAGACCAACCGAATTAATCGGAGGGCAAAGCATAGAGTTCACCTGCGTTGGAGCAGTCACGGCAATAGTAGCAGGTGGGGGAGGCGGCGAAGGTGCAGTAGTCATGGTCCTACGGCAAGAAGTAAGACGAGACATCTACATCCATACCAGAATCAAGCATTTGGATACTGACTTCCACTTTGTTCCTGAAAGAGTGCATAAGGGAGACTTGCAAGTGGAGTACATCTCCATATGTGCTTACATGGGGCTTCATGGTCCTCCATTTTTGCAGCATTGTTCCAATCTCGGTTACTTAGTCATTAACATTCCAAGTTACTATAAAAAGCCATATGGTAATTCCCATTGTAACTAACTCAGCAAGTGAAATAAGATTCCTGTTTCTTCAAACTCTCGACTCCTATTCTTCTTGCTTCTGCATTCTCAGCTTCTTGTACAAATCTTCTGCTACACTGTTATGAAAATCAAGGGTGGGAGAGGAGGCTAGGATTTATAGGAAATTTCGTTTGATATGTTTATTTTTGTTGATGCACAAAATCAGGGAAGACTTTGGAACAACATAAAGTGTCAAGTTTGTGAACTTCACTCGGTTGCTCCGGTTACCTAGTGAGGATAATATGTAAAGAGATAGGAAAGCAAACACAAGATGTACATGGTTCACCCTAAGTTTGGCTACGTCCAAGAAGTAAATGAGTTCTCATTAATAGTGAAGGGTTTACACAATACATAGGTTCAAGCATAATTATCATTAGTGAGTTCTAATGACTAGTTTAAGTACCATAATGACATTAGGGATTAATTGTAGGAGAATGGTCTCCTTTTATAGTTGAGTTGAGTCTTTAGCTTTTGTCCGCGGTCAATGTGGGACTTTATGAGTTTTATTCTGACGTTGATATGTGTCGTGCTGTGATTGGCCTCTTTGTTGGTGGGAAACTCTTGTGATTCAGCAAGGGTGCCTCAGCATGAACCCCTCAGTGGGTCCTTAAAGGTATGACGTTGACCAGTACTCGATAATTTCAGGATTGATCAAGTATGGTACAAACAATTTTTATTAATAATTATTCACTTAAAAAATTGAATAAATATCCTTTAGTAAAATAAGACTGAATGTTGTTACCAAATGATCATGTGCCATCAAGAAAACGTTTAGAATTGTCTTTTTTTTTTTTTTTTAATATATTTAGTTTTGGGCCATTAAACCTAAATTTGTGTTAATATATTAAGGTTTGAGGTAGATTGCAATAATATTCATCAGAAAGACAATTGTGACTTAAGTTTGTACTGTTTAAAGAATAATTAAACAGTGCCACTTAATATTATCGTCTAGCAATGTTCCTCTTCAATTGTAATGAAAGCTCTTAAGTTTGATTTTCGCCAATGACGAATTTGAACCAAATTCTTATAGCTAGTGTATTGTGAATCTTAACCTATTTAACATAAATAATATCAATGTATCAAAAAAATAATTAAACCGTTATCACAAATTTGTTGACATAAGTGATGAGCACGGCTAGTTGATAGCTCTATTTTAGTTGTCTTTACTTGACTGATAAGCTTAAGAGTCAAACACTCAAACTGATTGAATTAATTAACACTGTTTTGGCATTTACTTTAATTAACGATAATGGAGAATGCAAGTGGACGCAGCGATGCTTTTCTGACTTTCTCTTATGAAGATTCAGCCGTACATTAATTCTAGTATTGACTAAGAGGAGTGCTTGTCTTTGTGTATTAATTTCTTAAGATATGATATGGACCCTTGTTTTCTTTTAAATTTTCTCACAAAAGACGGGCAGTGAATCATTAGTTTTAGGAAATCGTTTAGAAAGGAAGTAGATTAGTTTAGTAGTTCGAAGATCAAATTCTAGGGTCTTAGAGCATCTCTATAGGAGATATCAAAATCCTAGGTGGAATGTCACTATACACATTTGACATCAAAAGTCTCTCCAACCGAAAGAGATGTTAAATGTTAATTTGATGGCTGATGTGACAATGTCTAATTTTCTATTTTTCCAGTCGATATGTTTTTTTTTGTTATAAATGATATTTCTAGAATCCTTTTTAAAAAGAAATCAATTAAAATAAATTTTCAAGATCTATTATTTGTGAATTAATGGGATCTATACAATAAAGTAATTAAAAATTATTTGGCATCACCTTTTTTCATATGTCAATCCACATAGTATTAACATATTAGTTGAAGCTTGCTATTACCTTCAAATTTAATTACATGACACTTCACTTTGGATTTAAATGGTCTTAGTGATTTGATGTCAAATTTAACATCAATGTCAAATTTATTTTTAATTCATTTTAATAGTGGGTCCATTTTTCCACTAACATTTTAATCAATAAAAATTTTATTTAATAATTACAATCATTTAAAGCTCTATTTAAATAATAAAATAATATTTGACAATTCGGTTGGAGAATTACAAAATTTGACATAAGGCTTCAGACTACCACATCAGCCATCAATTGTAATTTGACTCTTATAATTTGACATTTCGTTTGGAGATGGTCTTAGCACTTTCCATTTGTGTGAGATGAGAGTAATTAATGCTGCTAGTATGAACTCAAGACTGCGCTCTCCCTTTCCTTTCCCAAAAAGCTATCCCTCTTCCAACAAACGCTAGTCGTCACCCCCTTCGCCGCCAGCCTCTAGCTATGGCTGGGGGCCGGTGGCAGCCTCTCCCTCATTTTCCTAGCTTTTCCTCCCTTCCTTCCCCCCTATTCCCCTTCTCAGCCATCCTCCTCCCCTCACCATTCTCGTTTCTTCCCACCACCTCACTCCGACCCCTCTTTCCTGACCTTTCACTTCTTCTTATCCCCTCCCTTGCTTCTCTCCCACCATTTTGGGTATAGATATACATGGATCTATGCCCTATACCCTGACCCGAGCCTTAACCATTCAAGATTTTCTTCGATTGGCACTTGTTTCCTAGTGTGGGGTTTAGATATGTGTTGCAGGTAGGCTAGATCCCCCTTTATCAACTCGATTTCCATGGTGGTGTCTCCCTCCTGGACGGCTTCGATTATTTCCGCTCTTGAGATTCAACTTGGTCTGGGATCTTGGTGCGTTCGTCTCGTTGGGCTTGGCTCGGCTTGAGCGTATTGGTACGGCTCGACTCGTTGTGGCTTATTTTGTTGTACCTCGGCTCTTCTCATTATGGCATAGCCCGTCTCGTTAAGGCTTGGCTCGGCTTAAGCATGGATGTCGGCGTCCCACTGTCTGGATTTTGTAGGTGGTCTAGGCCTGAGCGCCTCGGTCCCCTTGCTTTTGAGTTGTTCATCAGATCTTTCTCGATGTAGTTTAGTTCTTGTCGCCCTTGTGCACTGCAGTGACACTGGTATTTTGGCTAATTTGGTCTTCGCCTTTGTGCGTTGTTATTGTGAGTCTCGTTTGCTAACGATGACTTTGTTGTGATCTTGCACTTTTGCAATGACTTTTTATGGCCTCGCTATTCAGCGATGATCGTTGTATCTATCAGTCTCTAGTCTGTTGCTGCTATCATTTATTGTGATAGGTCTATACTGGTAGTTTTCTGCGCTTGGCGACTGTGTGATTGAGCTTGTGGGTGTCTACTAGGGGTTTAATGTTATTTGTCTGCTTTGTGCAAATTCATTCCAGATCAATTTATTGGTCATTGGAATTTTGTACCCAATGACACTCTGTAATTACTTGGTGTTGACTAATGAAAGGCTATGCTATCGTTTCTGGTTAAAATAAAAAAAAATAAAAAAAGTATGGACTCAAGATCGGCCCTGAGGGAAGCTGATGTAGGTGCCCGCCAGAGGATAATTTTTTTAGTATATACATATATATGTGTGAGAAAGCCAAGTTGATAAAACATCAAATACGTTGCTACTTTTGCTGAGTTAAGAGGACTCAAATGTGTGAACCTGCATGCTTCCTGACATCACCTTTCCACATGCACTAATCTCATTAACCACCGAATCAATCAACTGTTGGTTCTTTGTTGAATCAACCCCTCATCCCGCTTATTTCTCCATGTAAAAGGATACCCTGGCAACAACGGGGTGGATGAATTTATTTCCTAATGCGAAAATTAAGCATGTGGTGCTGGAAGGTTTGGATCATTCCGTGCTAATTTTGTCTCCCAAAGGGAACTTTCTGAAAGGGCCACGGCGTTTCATTTATGATTCTAGATGGGGGAAGAAGCTGGAATGTCGAGAGATTATCATGGATGCTTGGAGGAAATTGGTGGAGGGTTCATTAGCGTTTAAGGTATGTGAAAAGCTTAAGGGGACGCATCACCATTTGGGAGAGTGGAAGAGGATCACAAAACCGAACTCCCAACGCCGTATTGTGGAGCTTCGTGCAGAGATTAGGAAAGGGGTGGTGGATGGGGGTGTGCGGCAAGACTATATCAGTGGGAAAGAGAAAGATTTGGAGGTGGCTATTAAGGAGGAAGAATTATATTGGAAAGTGAAATCTCGGAATACGTGGCTCCGAGAAAGGGACAAAACTACTAAGTTCTTTCATGCTCAAACGACTCAATGGAGAAGAAGTAATCGGATTTTGGGTTTAGAGGATACCAACGGAGTATGCCAAAAGGAATCCGTATGTGTACAGCAGATTGTGGTTAATTATTTTACCACATTATTTCAGTTTGGCAGTGCTCGGCTGGAAGGAGAGGTGGCGGGTTGTGTGGGAGGAAAGGTTGATTATAGGCAAAATGCATAACTTATTAGGCCATGTTCTATGGATGAAATTAGAGATGTTGTGCACCAAATTCCAGCTACTAAATCTCTTAGTCCTGACGGTTTTACGGCTGGGTTCTTTCAGGATCATTGGGAAGTGGTGGGGGAGGATATTATCCGGATGGTGCAGGCTTTTCACCACTCGAGGAGGTTGTTACAGAAGGTTAATCATACCCATATTGTCTTAATACCGAAGGTGAAGGCTCCGCGAATGATGACAGAACTTAGGCTGATCTCGTTATGTAATGTTGTGTATAAGATAATTAGTAAAGTTCTAACAAATAGGTTGAAGAATGTGATGGACCGGGTTATTAGTGGCAATCAATCAGCATTTGTACCAGGAGGCAGATTCATAATAACATTTTGGTTGTTCATGAAATATTGCGTTCTTTAAAGCAGGGTGTGGAGGGCGAGGAAGGGTCGAATGGCGGTCAAATTAGATATGGCAAAAGCGTATGATCGAGTGGAATGGAGTTTCCTGATTGAGGTTATGAGAAACTTGGGTTTTCATCCACATCTCTACGGTGTCGTATGGTGTGATGGTGAATGGTGTTCCGTTGGGGTACTTCCGACCGGAGAGGGGATTGAGGCACGGTGACCCATTATCACCTTTCCTTTTTTCTCATATGTGCAGAAGCTCTATCAGCTTATATTCGAAAAAATGAAATGGAAGGGCAGATTAGTGGCGTGCAAGTGGCGCCTGGAGCAAATGCCATCTCTCATTTGTCTTTCGCGGATGATTCAGTGGTGTTTTGCAAAGCAGATGAGACGGAGGTTAGGAACGTAATAAAGATATTGGAGAAGTATGGTCAGGAGTCCGGTCAAATCATTAACTTGGACAAAAGTTCTATTTTCTTTTGGAAGGGTTGTTTGAAGATGAATAAAAAGTGTATTGTGTCGAGAACTGAATATTCAAGCAAGAGACGACTTTGGCAAATATTTGGGGATCTAGGTAGATTTTGGACATTCGAAGAAGGCAGTATTTGAATTGGTATGACATGGCATTGAAAGTTGCATAGATGGGTGGGCGGAGCAATTTTTGTCGCCGGCAAGGAAGGAAATATTGATTAAATCGGTGGCAATGGCGATGCCGAATCATGCTATGGCGTGTGTTTAAATTGCCAGTAACCACGTGTAAAGAGATGGAGCGAGTCATTGCTCAATTTTGGTGGAGAAGTCAAGCGAAAACCAAGGGATGTCATTGGGTGGCATGGGATAAAATGATTGTGAGTAAGAAGGTTGGAGGTTTGGGTTTTCGAGACCTTATTGGGTTTAATTTGGCTATGCTTGCTAAAATTAGTTTAAGGGTGTTGTGGAAGCCAGATTCGATGCTTAGTATGGTGCTTCGGGACAAATATTTTCCTAATTCATCTTTTCAGGGACAAGTCAGCAGAAGAAATCATCGTGGGGGTGGAAAGGTATTCTTTTGGGGAGACAAATTTTGCACCGTGGGGTTAGATGGAGGGTAGGGAATGGAGAGAAGGTTCGGATGGCTGAGCCATGGGTACCTAAGCCCTATTCGTTTAAACCGGTGCTGAGGAATATGGATCCTAATACAAGGAAGTATGAGTTAATGACAGCGGATAGGCAAGGGATGGAATCTAGATACACTTGGAATGGGAATGGCACCAGAGGATGTTGAGTTGGTTCGATCTATACTGTTTAGTCGACATGGGTGTGAGTATAAAAGAATTTGGCATTATACGAAGAACGGGGTGTAAACGGTACGATCAGGTTATCATGTTGCAATGGAAATGTTGAAAAATGGTGAGTTTGGAAGGAAAGGGAATGGGATGGCGAGTTCTTTGGGTTTATTGGGAGGGACGTGGAAAAAGATATGGACTCTCGCTGTTCCGCAGAAACTCCGATTCTTTATGTGGAAAGCTGGTAGGAAGGCTTTGGCAGTTAGGCATAATTTGGAACGTAGGCGGATCCGAATAGTGAATAGATGTGAATTGTGTGAAGCAAGTGATGAAACTGAGGCTCATCTTTTCTTTGATTGTGAGTTTAGCCGTATTTTTTGGTTTGGGACGTCATTGCAAATAAATATGGCAGCTATGAGGGTGAATGATTTTTTGGAGGGATGGCAGCAGATTGTAAAGCGTATGGAGAAGGAAATGGATGCTGATTTGATCTTGCAACATGTGGTCTTTGGCTTCTGGCAAATTTGGATGTGTAGGAATGAAATGTTTTTAAGCGGGTGCGGACGTTACCACAAGTGGCGGTGGAGCTATGGCAGCCGCATGTGGAGGAATATAAGAATGCTATGGATGTTACAGTGGGGGAGGGTGGGGCAGATAGGAGAGGTAGGAGGGATGGGGTCGGGTTGGGTTTTGGGGAAGAAATCGGGGAGGGTATGGGTGAGGGGGTGGGAGTATGAGGGAGGGGTGGGAGGTGGGGAAGGAGTAGTTAAGTGGCAGAAGCTGGCTTATTAGGAGTTAAAATTGAACTGTGATGCAGCATGGAGGAAGGACACAAGGGAGAGAGGGGTAGGGTGGGTACTTAGGGACTTTGTGGGAATCCCAAAGTTCACAGGAGGGGTAGGAGGTGGATGGTTTGGGGATGCCACCATGGCGGAGGCGATTAGACAGGACCTAGGGACGATGGTAGGGATAGAGGATTAGGAGGTTTGTATTAGACTGGTGGCGGAATCGAACTCCAAATGCTTGAAAAAGATGCAAAACAAGGAGACCACGGTTGATGTGAATCTCGAGATTTATATCCAAGACATTTGGAGAATGACTAGTTTATTTCAGTTGGTAAGGTTTTGTTTTACCCCTCGTCAATGCAATTGTGCAACCCATTCGATAACAGCGTACGTCGTCAAGCATGGCTAGAGATTTGGCTGAGATAAATTAGGCCCTGGGTTTCTCTTTAATATTTTAGCAGAAGATGCAAATGTAACTTTTCGTATTTAATTTCTAATAAATTCCTATCTTTCAAAGAAAAAAAAAAGTCAATTGTTGGTTGTTACAAAAACGTATTTTGTATACTTAATAAACTATTAATCAGAATAAAATTAAAGGGCATATCCAGGACACTATCCTATTTTACACAACTTTTGACATAAGTTTGTGGAGCTCACTCCGTAATGTATTTCAACGATCTAAACCGTCTTATCTTTTGGAACATCATTCATAAATCATCCTTACAAAAAAAAAATTAGACAATTCCAAAACCATTAAATCATTCATTTATAGTGAAGAAAATGGACGAATATGATTCTACAAAGAAACCCTAATCCTTAATTCAGCAATCATATAGTATCATATTTGTGTGATTTTTTACAGACATAATCTTTGATAGAATCTTGATAGAAAACCTAAAAAATAGACGGTTTGGATTGCTGAAATACATTACAGAGTGAACTCCACAAAAACTTGTGTCGTGTCCAAAAAATGGTGTCACGACAACAATGGTGGTGGTGATGCTCATGGAAAAGTGGTGTTGAAAGCTAGTCCAAAACCCTCCATCTCTACTGATAAATGCTCAACGATTATCTCTACAGCGGTAAAAATCATAACTTGACGGAAAGGAATGCAAGTAAATGGTTAAAACATCCATTAGAAAGGGAAAATAGTGAAAAGTTATCGAACGAAAAAGGGTAAATGGTAAAAAGTTACCAAACACGTTATACTCTTTTGCCTGTAATCTGCAACTCCAAATGTGCATGAGTTTAACCAAACTTGCGGAAGAGAAGGGGCCCAATCTGCACGCTAGCTCAACACAAAATTTCATGGGCACAAAGCATCTACCTCCGCAATCATTAATCATCACCCCATGTCGATGGCCCACCTGTTCCAATTTCATCAACAGGCGACGGATGCAGTGTAGAACCCGTGGAGGGACGGTTTTTAGCTTTTTTACTCTTAGAAGGGAAGGTTACTAAGCCACCCAAGTCCCTAACCTTGTCATTAACCTTTTTCTCACTAGCAACCTCAGCATCAACAGAAAAAAGCTCCAAAAACGGTGTATCTGCATCATCAATAACATCAAGTTCACCTTTTCTCCCCTTGGATTTCTCTGGTTTCTTTCCAACCTCAGCATTATCTTCTGTGTCGGCTGGACTCTTTTTCTGCTTCTTCTGTTGCAATGCTTTCTCAAAATGCCCAGCATTCTCCAGATTACCAGTATCATCTTCATTTTGCATATGATGTATGCGGTTCTTTTTCTTGACAGAATCTCTTTTTTCATCCCCCTCGACAACAACGTCATTGTTTGAGACATTGTCTTTTGATCCCTTCCTTTTCCGTTTCGATTTCTTTGTATCAGAATCACTAGCATTTTCAATACCACCCTTAGCTTCACCCATTGCATGATGTTTGAAGTCTCTCTCCTTTGGCTCTTTTGTTTGAGTTTCTTGCTTGTCAGCAGCATTAAGTGAAGACTTATTAACTTCATCAGCTCTAGCGCCCTTTTCACTCTTGATGTATTTATCTATGGGTCTGGCGTTGAATACATGGAGGTTCGGCAACATCTTTTTAATCTACAGTGACATTGTTTGTATAAGTATATTTAACAACGGTAATCTGGAGTCAAAATAGAGATCTAAAAAAGAAACAACTAGGACAGCAACTAGTACCTTCTTTACTAATTTATCCTTTTCAACAACAGGGTTTCCTTGCAGATTGAGATTCCTCAGATTTACCAATGAATTGATTATCTATCTCAGAATGCAACCGAGAATCAGGGCCACATAAAATTCCAAAGACAAATAGAGAAAGAAAAGTTTCGGCACGTTGGATCTAACCTTCAGATCTGACCATCTTGTGATCACATTATTACCCAAGTCCAAATTCTGGAGTTTCTTATTAAGAGCCAACTCGGTTGGGAGACCCTGAGTAGCATGCACAGAGACAGTAGGTGAGTAAGTGAGAAAGAGAGAGCATCATAGTGAGAAAAACCAGACAACACATGCATATCAAACCTAGCTACTTGAACAAAATTTAATTTCAACGCTGAAGTGAAGAAATAAACAGTAGAAGAAATCACTGCGTAATCATGGAAGAAAATAATTACACTAATTGAGTAATGTTGGAGGTAATTACAACTCGGTTTTTTTTTTAAATCTACAATTGAGATAACATGCTTTCCGACAGGTATACCAATCAGTAGAAAACAAACCTTAATATCATTATGAGCAAGACGGAGCTCTTTCAGTTCAATACAGAACTTGAGTGAAGCCTCTATAGTCTGAAGTTGGCAGTGAGATAGAGAAAGCTGGAACCAAGAAAGTTTCGGGGGTTTAGCTGAATTTAAGTGAAATTACCACCAAGGACAATCAACCACCAGAAAAATGCTTTACCTTTGTGATAGATTTCACCTTCTTCAGAGAATCACCAATGTCACGGATCGGATTTCTAGAAAGAACTACAGAGAAATCAAAACTTTATTGCTTTGCATCAATCATGAACAAAAATATTATATTATTTCTTGATAAATATGAATAGCAGGTAAAGAACAAACCAATGGAATATGAGGTTATCGGCTTTGTAGTGTCAGAAAAAGAAAATTGGGGAAATTGTGGCTTTTCAAACAGAGTTATTCTGAACAAAGCTCCACCAAGAAATGGAACAAACTAATAAGAAGCTGCTATCTAGGTGGCCCCATACATGTTAATAAATTTCGAAGTTCACCTCTAAACAAAAGTAGCTATAGAAAGACACCAAACTCTTGTATGCATTTACATTCACTCCATGAAAGGATCTCTACCTCATGTTTTATCTCCTACCATTTTTCATTTCAAACAAAATAAAATAAAAACAGTCATAGAGGTACAAAATGCGTTATCTTTATAACAATAAAAATACAAGTAATAAGTCATTATTGAATACAGGAAGAAAAACTTTAGAACACATACCAAGAGTGTTTAGTTCTCTCAACGGTTCAAGTCTGCAAATTGAAGCAATCTCATTATCTACAAAACCCAGAAGATAAAATGAGAAACAGGGAAAGAGAGCACGAGAGATAGAACTTTAAGTAGTTACTGGCATTTAGTTATCCTCCAATACTACTATTCACTATAATTGGCCCACTTGACTTGCAATATCATGAATTTAAGCTATTCCTCTCTTACATCATAATGGTTTCTTGGGTTTGAAGCCACTGCTTTCTTGATCTTATCATTGCAAGAAAATGTTCTTACGGTCCTACTACCATGCCAAAAAGGTTTGCTATTAAAAGAACATTCTACTATGGTGTCATTAGTACTACTAGCCTAGCTTTTGTGGGTGCCCATTTAGTTCACTTGGATATCCCCTTTTGTATGTCTTTCCATCTCTAATTTGTTTCACAAACATCAAAATGTAAAGGAGAAAAAAGGGGTATTTTAGGATGAGCCCATATGGTATTCCTCAAAACATTCGAACAAAATCTCACCATTCAAAATTACTGCACGTAAGCCCACAATAGACTTGATCTCATCCATCGCCTGAAGTTTATTGTTGCCAGCATTTAACACCTGGTTACAAGATTGAACAAAGTGACTCTAGAACCCAAAATGTGGATTTATTGATTATAGAATTATCCTGACTTGGTCAATAGTCAATTATTTAAAAGGAATGAAGGAACTCAAATAAACAAATTTCTACAAATACAAACTATCAGCACTCTTGTTTGTAAGCTGTCTAAAAAAGTGTCTCCAGGAAGGGGAGAAACAAAAATGTAAAAGAGGACCAACCTCTATCGGGGCCTACCTTTTACTTCTCAGATTTGGAGAAGCTGAGAGTTGTTTAAATATGTTATATCCTAGAAAGTCCTTAAAGATCCATTTCCCCCATTTTTTCCCCTATAAACAGATACGAGCAGGGGAAAACTAGAGAAATTTTTTTCCTTCACTTTTCTCCTGTTATTTCCCCTCTCCTAAGTGTCAACAAAGACTTCAAAACACACCATCACATCCAATCCTTCCTACTGATAAAGCAATTTTTTTTTTCTTTTTGTCTAATCTAGTCATAAATTTCCTTGTGTAGTATAATTATTTCAACTTTATTCACTCTAGTTTTGAAGTGTTTTCTATCAATTTCATTTATTCATCTGGAGCTAACCCTCCTCATACTACAGGAGGAAGTAGGGCTGGAAATTTTTCCAGAAAATCCCAAACCAAACCAAAAAAATCTCAATCACATACCGAAAAATTCCCAAACCGATAATACCAAAATTTTTGGGATTCATATTGAACCGATCCTGAACCTTTCGGTATGGGAATCAAGGATTACACATTCAATGGTTAGGGAACCCCGAACTGAACCGAAAATATATATGTATATTTATTTTGGTTGCATGCATGTTGAATGTTGAATTTAAGTAATTTGAGAGTAGACTATATTAGAAATAGAAGTATGAAATTAAGTAATTTGGAACTTTGTAAAATCAATTTGACTTAATAAGAATGATTTGGTATTTCAATTGGTAAGAAATTTCAAATTGTTAATAGGTAAAAAGCCTAAATTTCATATGATAGAAATTGGGCAACAAAATTTTAAGCCAAAGGCCCAAATTTTAGCCCACAACCCAAAAATCTCAAATTTGTGGCCAAAAACCAAAACGCAATCCCCATCCATCCCGAAATACCGAAATTTTGGTTCAGGATTGATCTTCAAATTCCCGTCCTGAAAATTTTTGGTTTCGGATTGGGGATCCCATTTTCGGTTTGGGTTCCCATACCGAACCACCCCTAGTAGAAAGTAGTTTACAGGAGGTCTATGATTTATCAAGTTGTCAACCCAAGCCAATGAAGCCACAAAACATGGCTTCTTGGAGTAGAGTTTGACATACTTTACATATAGATTTTAAATCGTCTTTGGTATGTAAACGTAGTACAATAGCACTAATATCAACGTTTTTTGTCTTAGAAGATTTCTATGGTTGCAGCACACATGAGCCTTTCATTCAAAAACATATCAAGCATGATAACAATACTACATGTCGCTGAAAGATATATTTTTGAATGAAAGACCCATGTGAGCTAGAACCCTAGGTATAAGCTCTTATTCTTATACATGCAAAAGGGCATGTAATCAATAGAAAGGAACTTAATATATTTGAATTGACTGCTCTGGGAGCATCACTGAATCACTTAGTCCCCATGATTTCACGCTTTGTGCTGTCTATGAAACAATTTGCTCATAAAGCATAAGCAAGTAGATGAGAAAGATAATTATTAGGTTAAAAAATCCAAACAATTCGATGGGACAAAAAACTTGAACACCATAACGGCCATATGTTTATCAAATTTACAGTCTGAACAACAAAGAGTACGGTAGCATAAAATACCGCCTGACCAAGATTGACCAATTGAAATTTCAAAATTTCCCCCCAAATGAGCTTTACTAACTAGTCCAGGCTACATGAAGCACTACCCTAAACAAAGTTCGACATCCATATTCGACTAATATCAAGTAGCTGAACGTGTATCCTCAAAATATTTACAGTCTTCCAACACCCACATTTTGATTAAAATCATAAGTAGGAAAAGGTTGGTACTTACAGTGAGCTTAGAAAGTCCCTCAATTCCTTTGAGGCTCTGCAGTTTATTATTCGCAACGGATAACCATTTTAAATTGATACATGACTTCAACCCCTGAATTTCAAGCACATAAATTTAGCTTCAACAAAATTCACAGCACAAAAACGAAGACGGCTTACCGATCGATTACCTCGAGAGAAGTGAGATTGTTGAAGCTGAGGTCGAGCCTCTCCAAGTTGTTGAACTCGCCCAAGCACGAAACCTACCCATTTTTTGGAAATCACAAATTAATTTTATCCATAACATGAAATTGTAAAATTTGATGATAATCCAATACAAAATGAAGAGAGAGGGAGGGAGAGGAGGGAGATAGATGAAAACGACGTCGTACGTACGTCGGAGAGAGCCTTGTGATTGAGCTTGAGGGTTGAAATGGAGTTGGGGTCGCGGGTGTTGTTTTCCTTGAGCACCTGCTCCAAGCTCAGACGATTCATTGCTTCTCTTCTTCTACGCGTTTTGCTTTTGGTATTTGCAATTGCAATGTAAGCGACTTCTTCAGTCTTCACGTTGGGATTAGGGTTTAGGGTTTATGGTTCAGTAATCTGTGATTAGGGTTTTGGAATAGTGGGGTGATGATTTGCGTGTGTTTCATCTGTCTCCATTGCAGCTCTGTTCTGGGCTTTTGAGTGCTCCTGTTGGGCCTGTCTCGTCTTTGTGTCTGTTTTCACGGTGTTCCGAAGTAAAGAATATATCTGATTTGGATTTGGATCCTCTCCTGAGCTAATGAAGAGGATCCTCTGACCAATCATCATGGACCGTTGAATTTTTATCCAACGACTACAATTATTATTACTTTAAAGGGATCTCCTGTTTGTAGCCGTTGGATAAAAATCCAACGACCCACGATGATTGGTTATGAGGATCCTCTCCATTAGCTCAGGAGATGATTCAAATCCATCTGATTTTTAATGGTTATATTCTTGTATATAAATGCACAATCAAAATTTAATAGTTAAAATATTTAGAGTATTGTATACTTTAGAGCGTCATAAAATTTTTGGTTTATTCAGACTAGAAAGAGTTTTGGTTTACACTACAAATTCGAATTCACTATTGATTGCTAGTTACGAAGCATTTTTGTATACAAAGCACTTCTATTAGGACTGCTTTCATTGGTGAGATTTTGAAATTTTTATTAAAAATATAACCGCAATTTGAAAAAACACTTGGGAATACTTCCTAAAAATGTATTTGACATGTGCTTTTTCAAAAATCACTTTTATTATTTTTAACTTTTTTTACCAAATACAATAAGAAGCGCTTTTAACCCTTCCAGAAGTAATTTCAAAGAAATCTTAATGCACTTGCAAAGGGACAAAGTTAGACCTTGCAAAATGTTGTGTTTTACGAGTCATGCGATATTCGTTGTGTCAAATTATCCTTAAGTTCAAATCTAACTCATTTAACTTATCATGCACAACTATATAAACAAGTTAGCATATCTGCCATGGCATCCTAGCCTAGTTTTTATTGAGTAATGCTATCCACACCCGTTCTTCTACTTTTCACACACTTCAATTTTTTACAGTCAGATTAAATAATTTTTATTTTGTTAAATGATAGATTTTGTTAGATTAGGTGTTAAATTAGCCACCAACGGGGTTCGAACCAATGCAGTCATACAATGGCTCAACTCATTTCCACCACTATGATAAATGGCCACTTACATTGAATTAAATGAATTAAAGATGATCAAATGATAGAAATTAACAAGAGCTGTGCAGATAGTAAAAAGAGGTGCGTGGATAGCATAATCCTTTTTGTTTTCCATTTTCTGTTTTTGTTCGTAATTGGAATGCATTTTCTAAAGATAGCAACAAGCTGATAGGTTAAACTCTTTCCACAACGAGGCGTTACGTCTCTTGAGTTCATATACGATACTTGTTAAAATCCATGGTGCTTGCCCAACCACAACCACAAGGAACCTAATTTCCATTGTTATCGACTCAAAGCTCGACGATGAACAACCACCACAGGACGGTCAAGTGATTGGGGACGAATTTCATGTACGTATTCCTCACGGCATGCCTTAAATTTGATTCATGGCACCGGTGAATCGCACGATGATCACCAGGAGGAGGAACAAAATTGTGACTTCCGTACAATGGTTGTATACAACATGATTCTCATTGCTGCCTCCTCATGCCGTCCGACCAAATATCGTGAGAAAGATGTATACACCCATTGTATTCAAGAATTTCATGTAAATGAATGAAACACGCAGTTGCTTACGAGAACCCTGTCTGGTCTCATGACCAATAATCGACTAAACAAGAAAACAAGTTACAAACCAATTAAAATTACCTACACCGAGTTTTCTCATTTGAAAATTGCGAAGAATCTCTCACGCAGATGTAAGATTCACACATTACTCAGATCAGACGGAAACTCAAAACCATTTACTTAACCAATGTGTCTCACTCAAGCAAAAGTCAGGGAAAGTGAAGATAGTACCAAATCATGCTACTTCGAAAACCAAACTAAGACTTCTGGAGAAACTGTTCAGTACTATGTAATGTACTTTTCCTGCTGCTCTTGAAGAACCTTTGCCGAAGACTTGGCATCCAGATATAGCGTACCCACCTCCTCTAGGTCAGCCTACAGATCATACAAAACAATAACTAACTAATTTCGTGGACAGTGAATGATAAATCTTCAACAGCTCACTTCAAGCACACATAATAAGTAATAACATGGTCAAATCTGTAACTACCTTGCATATTTTGTCTCTGCCGTTCATTTTTGCCACAATGCTTGCAGGCGATAAGAGCTGAACAGCATGCCTGATGAAACAATAAATAAAGTAAGCACCCTTCAGAGGGAATGAATTCACAGCTATCAAGTCTAAAATTTACACCAGACCTTAAAGATGATTTTTGTCCTATCTCTCCGAGGTAAGCCAAACTGTCGTCATCTATAGCCAGTTCCTCTACTTGTGCACGAATTACTAAGATCTGACTCAAGCACCAACCGGTACAGTAATCAGTAGTTTGACACTTAGACGAAAGGAAAACAAAAATAGTAGTTTGGTACTTGATAAGATGCTCTGTTGTAGAAAGAGAATTTCTAGACAATAAGCAAATGGAAAGGGTCAAGACCTTTATCATCTCTTCAAGACCGTAAGTCTGTGTTCGGATAATCACCAACCGGTCCAACAAGTCAACGGGAATTCCATGAGGACTAGCCATATCAGTCCCTCTGCACAGCAACATATTCATGTTTAAAAAGCAAGAAATTATAATTACAGTGAGCATACCCAAGGAACATTACAGTCAGGAAATTTTTGTACAATTGGACATGGAAAGAGAGGCATTGCCTGGGTATATGCTTTTATACTGACATAACGGTAGTATCTCAGAAGATATTGTGGTAAATGCCTGTATGATTAGAACTCTCATACCTTACATTGCAAATTCCTCTATTGGTGGCAAATATTACGATTGGAGATAACGAGCTCTCCAAAGCACGGTTCAAGTACGAAAAGCACTCCATATCCAGCATATGTACCTATTGTTCAAGTTTTAAAAATATAAGTAATTTGGAGAAATGAAAATACTTATAAGGAACTTGACTTGGATGAGAAAAGAACCTCATCAATGAACAGAACTCCAGGTACAAGTTCCGCTACACCTTCATCAATATACCGGTTAACAACCTGCCATCAATTAAAAGTAAATCAAGCATCTTCTTTTCCTTTTATTTCATAGATAACAAAAATATTAATAGAAGGGGGGAAAACTACTATATCGGTGCAACCTATGTAAATTATTTCAATTAGTTATAATTAGTATTTTAAAGAAATTGATTTAAGATTTAGGGAGAAGAAATAAATTATTTTAACTTCTTCATTGTGAGAAAAACCTGAGTGCACAACTAAAGTAATTTGAATGCTCCACCACAGACTAGATAAGAAAGAAGTTATAACGAAAAATTAAAAGTTGAAGTTCTAAACTCAATATGCTTCATGAACCACCTCACCCTGCTTCTACACATGTAATTACTAGAGAACTCCCTCACACGCACTATTTTTCCTTTCCTACAAATATACCACTTTCAGTAAACTATCACAAACTTCCTTGCTAGACTGCCATCACCTCGACCAATAAAGGCCTTCCTCAATAAATTTCAAATAAAGGGGATAAATCCCTAGCAACAGACTATTTCAGGAGCAAGCAGTTCAAAACATATGCCAATTTAATCCATATGAGGAACTAAGAACACTAGGAAGTTGGGAAAGGACATTAGCTGTTTCTATTGATAGCAGAAGTTGGATTGACTTAAACATGCTTAGTGTCTAATTCATGTAGAAAATAGAGAAACAAGTCATCGAGCAAGATTTGGATGGAATTTAAAGCTGATGTTGATTTGACTTATAACATGTCAAAGGCTTGGAAACTTTTTTATCAGTTTACTTCAATAGTATTTTTCAGCAGGTTTCTCCAACTATATTGAAGAATTAGCAAGGAACATTGGTCACATGGAAACCATATATTTGGTTCCTATCACAGAAAAGACATTAAGTTGGGTCAAAATTTCCTACACGAATACAAGATTACCTTATTTATTTCTTGTCGCAACTTGTCAGTAATTTCTGTTTTCCTCGGCTTCATCATTTGACCCATTAGAGATAAAATGTCTTGCCCACCTTGAGGCCGCGCATTTGCAGCATCCAGATCATGTAGTGTTACATCCTGTTAGCAAATTGTATAAGTAAACAGAAATTGAACATCAAGTGAAGATCAGAGTATATGTACACAAAAATTGAATTCTGCTAACAAAAATAGAGCATAATAGAAATTTAAAGAAAGAACGGAAAAAAAAATTGATCAGAACCACTATAGTGTTTATGGTCTTAGGAAGAGATACTGATAGATGGTAAGTTCACATGGTATTCCAAGAAAATATTAGGCGTCCAATGCAAGGAATTACCAGGCTAAAAATCCTTAACAATTTCATTGGTGGGCTATATCCATCAAATGCAACTACTCAATTGCAGGTAAAAATAATTTAGCATGTTTCAAGAATCCAACTTCCTATATTAATCAAACAAAGAAACAACAAAATGTATTATTAGGAAACATCTGCATCATGCAAGGATGATGCATATTCCTTTCAAAAAAAATTTACCATACAGCTAGAATCATTGACCAACCAGTTTGAGTAAGAATCCATATAGTTACTGATAAGGCTGCTAGCTGATGACAAACCCAATCCTAGACTACGTCCGATAAAATGGATGCTATCAACATCAAAGAGGACATTTACAACAAAGAGTACAGATCACATAGCACAAACCTGCACAATCTCCTTCTTTTTGTGAACCTCTCCTTTTGGAAGTGGTACATACTCTTCTGCTTCCAGATCAAACTCTGTAGCAAAAGCATCACTTCTACCAACTCTTTTAACTGCTCCGCTATTTGCTTCAATGTATATAACATCACCAACAGCTACCTGCATGTTGTGTCAACAAAGTTGTACGAAAAGAAGAAATGACCCAAAATAGAAAAGCCACTTCAACATGACAAGCAACATGAGTTGGACATCATTCAGACTATTTGCCATCAGTAGCTTCATATACAATCAAGAATACCAAGCAAAATTATATAAGCAACAAGACAAAACAAAAATCTTTCTATTCAACACAAAATAAATAATAGTACCTTACCTTTTCCTTAATCAATGCATCATAAATAGTGGGGTCCAACTTCAGTTGCTTGGTTCCTTTAACAGTTTTTAATCCAATGATGACGTGACTAATGCTTTTACCATAACCACCGGTCACACTCTCTGTTTCTTCTGGTGTGAGTTCCGTCACCTAAAATGAGATTATCAAAACATCAAGAACCATAACCAACCTACTCATATAGCATTATCACACTATATTGACAAAAAATTGATATCGTTAGCAACTTGCCTCTCCTTCATACACCTCTTTATTTTCCTTGATACGTAGACCAATAGCCCGTCTAAAATTTTCCATTAAAACCTCAGTTTTCTTAACTTCTGATGAGTATACTTCTGATCCAACCATCGGGCAGAACGGAACCTGCATACAAGAGCCATCAACCGTTCATAATCATAATGAAAAAATCTATTCATTGTGGAATATGAATCAGAATATCCCATGAAACACAGGATAATCAGTTAACATTAGATATTAGATTACTGAGAGAAAAAAATGTGTGGAATACCTTACTCCCAAGCTCCTGAGATATTCCAAGAGCCAGCGCTGTCTTTCCTGTTCCAGGAGGTCCAGCAAGTAGAAGTGCCCGACCAGCCATCTTCTTCTGCCGTATCATATCAACAACAAGGCCAGAAGCTTCTCTTGCTTCCCCCTGACCCACAAAGCCAGCAGCCCATGGTATTGCTCTTCCATTGGCCTGGAAAGAATGAAACCGAAAAACCCATACAACCTTGTCATTCATTCAGATGGACATCACTCCATAAACTAAATTTTTTTTAAAAAAAAAAATCATGATTTATGCAGTATTGAAGTTAAACAAGCCCGCATTAGTTCCTCGCACTTAAAACTTTAAATATACAGTCACAAACCATTTCTCTTCCAGCCAGAAGTAAATTTAATTGCTACAGTACAATCAATAAAACATAATCGAAAGATAAAGCACTGACCTTTGATTTAAAAAACACGCACGCATAAGAACTGTGAGAGAATGTTACAGGAAACAGCATTGCAAATTCAGTGAACACCAAAGTAAAAAAAATGAAGCATCAGCTGCAACCCCTCTAAGTTCTAAACGTGCATTCTCAGTCAGAATACTAATACCCTACCATTTCCAGCATATCACAGTGGAATTTCGATAAAATGCCGTGCACCAAACAGACCCTAAAACCCTAAACCCTAAAATCAAAGACAATTTTACAGCGGAAAAAGGAAGAAATAGTTTTGAAATACAGTACCAATCAATGCGTATGGAACAAAAAAAATAGAGAGAGAGAGAGATAGAGAGACCTCAAGACCAAGGCCTTTGATGTGGGTGTGAGTGGCTATGCGCTGCTTCTTGGTAGTCGACTGAACCTCTTCTATCCTCACCTTGTCCATCTCTCCCTCTCCCTCTCTCTCTCTCTCTCTCGCTCTTGAATTAGGGTTTTTAGAGAAGAGAGTTCCAGTTCAGCTGTTGTGACCTGTGAAGAAGAAGAAGTTGGCCCTGTGTAATCGGACACGAGGAAGAAGAAGAAGGCGACGTTATTTTCCTCTTCCTCTCTCCTATTAAATGGGCTAAAATTTCAGATATGAATTTTGGGCCGGGCTTAGAATTCAAATCAATCCATGGTACTCAGGCTTTATTGATTTATTGGAATATTTTTTCTCATCACCATAACTATGGTGTATATTCATTGTACACCTTATCTGCTGCGTGTCTATTTACTTAACTTTAGTTAATTTTCATATTAAATGGTTCTTTTTTATTTAAAAAAAATTAATCAAGGTTAAGTGAAATGACACATGACAGATGATGGTGTATGGTAGGCATGCACTACAATTTATGGTGGAGAGCAAAAATGCACCCTTGATTTACTCCTTTTAAATTGGATTTTAATCTCACTTTATCCTTTAAAACTAGCTTTGTATCACTTTACTCTCTGAAATTGCAAAATTGAGCCATTTCACCCCACATACGTCCATGGTAGTGGCAGAGATTTGACACTTTAAGAGGTTTAAGGTAGTCTGAAAAATTTCATATCTCACTTACCACGATGACTCGTCTCTATCAATATGGTATGAAATGCACAAACTACGCTTTCATTTGACGTCTATGAGACATAATTCACATAAATAGGGTGAAATGACTCAATTTTGGTTGTTTCAAGAGGTAAAGTGAAACAAATCCATTTTCAGGGGATAAAGTAGAGCGAAAATGCAGTTTCATGGAAAAATCACATCATTTTTGTTCACATATTTCGTCTTTTAATTTTGGTCATGATTCTCCTTTTATTTGTACAATTGACTCAAAATAGTGTGTGCACCTAAAATAGATTAAATTGATAATCATTTATCACTAATAAATACAAATAAAAGGAAAACATTCCAACAACAAGAACAAGAAAACTTATTTGTCAATTCAATAACTAATCGATATTAATATCAATGTGAAGCTGTTGCACAACAAATTTATTCAATAGTTGATGACAATAATATTCTACATTAACACATGTAACTCAGCTTTAATTTGATAATTAAAAAAAGGATAAATTATATTTTGTATCCTCATTACAACCTCATACATCATCTTTAAAACATTACAATTTCATATACCAAATATGATTTAGTTGCAATTTTATACAATCCGTTACATAATCTGTTAGATTGGCTATTAAGTGATAATGTAGCAGATATGGAACCCAATTTTTAATGAGGTGGATGTCAACTTTGCGCCACGTGGATAATTTTTTTTATAAAATATAAGTTATAAAATATAAAAAAATATTATTATTTGAAATATTTAATAAATAATTAAAATGTCAAAAAAAAAAAATTCAACCCCACCCCACCCCAACACCCGACCCCTCTTCTCTCTGATCAACTCCTCCTCCGCTCCTCCACCATCCCCACACCTCTTCTCCCTCTAATCAACCCCCACACCTTATAAATTTTCATTTTTTAGCTTCTAGGATGGAGAGATCAACGAATATGGAGTGGGATGTGTATAGGTGGGGTTTCAAAGAAAAAAAAATTGACACCGTCTGGTTCCAGATGGATTCGCAATTGAAGGACAAGAAGAACATGAAGAACCCACCCACATCAAAGCTATTGCCATGGCAGAGCCACCTTCTTCGTCGATCCGCCACCACACCCATTGTTCTCTCTCCCATGTGACGACTTAGGTTCCTTATTTTAACCATGGAGGCTTTCGATTTAAACTGATTCACGAAATTCCCAATTTCAAACCACGCCAAATTTGAATTGTTGGGTTTCATTTGATCGATTTGGTTGTGGGTGAGGGTGTGGTGTCGAGGGTTAATGGTGACAGTGAGGCGTGTTGTTGGTGGTTATGGAAGATGGAGTTAATCAGAGGGAGAAGAGGTGTGTGGATGGTGGAGGAGCGGAGGAGAAGTTGATTAGAAAGAAGAAGGGTTGGCTGTGGGGGTGGGGTGGGGTTGATTAATATTTTTTTTTATTTTGACATTTTAATTATTTATTAAATATTTCAAATAATAATAATTTTTTTTAATATTTTATAAAAAATATATCCACATGGCACAAAGTTGACATTCACCTCATTAAAAACTAGGTCCCATATCTGCCGCATCATCACTTAACAGCCAATCTGACAAATTATGTAATGGATTGTATGAAATTGCAACTAAATCATATTTGGGGTATAAAACGTTTTAAAGATGATGTATGAGGTTGTAATTGCACTCATACTTGAGGGTGCAAAATGTAATTTACCCTTAAAAAAATCTTAGGCCAATATATGAAAAAGCTTTTGAGTGACAAATTTTGGTTTAATTCAAGTACAAAATTGACTAGAGAGGTTATGATTAGAAACAGATAAACTAATATCTACAAAAATAATATTGATGAAATAATAATACAATATACAATTAAATTATAAAAATATAGTACGTACGATAAAACAAAATTGAAAACAAATGACAGTACTAAATTTAATACAAATACACAAACTCGTTGAGTAGACTAAGGCTTGCCCATTGTAATGTCATTAAAACGGATTTTCGTCTACTCGATGTTTGTAGTTTGTTAGGTGTCCGCTTCACTGGGAAGTACTTTCTATAAGTCAACAAATGCCGAAGACCACCTTTTTTTTATAAGTTAACAAATTCAAAATCATTCCAAGATGCTTTGGCGCCTTCTCTGCGAACGACTTCTTCACAATCCAACTTCTGCAAAACTACTTCATGATAATCCTAGTTCTGTTGCTTAGTTATTTGTTAATTGGACACTTTGTATCCGATCCTTGCTTGCAAGAGATCTTTGATTAAAACCTTGTTCTTTTTCAGTTTTTGATTAAGGCCCTTGGAGTTTGTACACAACAACATTTTCTTGTCAACATATTTCCATGTCAGCTTTCTTTTTATTTTTCTAAAATATTTAATTTTTGTATTATTATCCCACACCACTTGCTATATTATTATTCTAGCCACCCTACATCTCTTTACACTCTTGTGCTTATTCCTTTACGCGTAACTGAACTCAATTTTTGAAATTCATCATTTTTGAAATTCATCATTATTATCTCTGATATGAATCTTCAAATTCAAATTTCGTCAAAATTTGAGCTGAAATCATATTTTATCCACCAGCGTTAGAACGAGCGCGGTTTGTTGCAGAGGAACTTGAAGAATCAACAACCATTCCGAGCTAGAATTCGAGATATTTTTTCTTTCTTTTTTTCAAATTGTACCCATAGTTCGATTATATTGGTTTGTCCCTATTGTTAGATTTTTTGTGTCACTATTTGTGTACCCATATTGAGGGGAACTGTAGTATGGTTTTTGTGGCTTCAACACTTGGTTTTGCATATGGTAAATAAATGGGTAAATTACACTTTCATACCTCAGGTTTGGGGTCTATTTCAATTTCTTACAACATCTTCAAAACATTTCACTTTCATACCTTAAGTACTATTTTATTTCAAAATAATACATCCGTTATATTTTCTATACATTGATCTGTTAAATGCTGACATGGCTGCAACATATATGCCACATGGCTGCCAAATGTCTACCACGTGGCAAATAAAATAATTTTTTAATTTTCTTTTAAAAAACCTGAATTTTCTCAAAAAAAGAAAAAGAAATTAAAAAAAAAGGATAAATTACACTTTCATACCTCATGTTTGGGGTCTATTTCAATTCCTTACAACATCTTTAAAACATTTTACTTTCATACCTTAAGTACTATTTTATTTCAAAATAATACCTCCGTTATATTTTTCATCCATTGATCTGTTAAATGCTGACGTAACTGCCACATATATGCCATGTGGGTGCCAAATGTCTGCCACGTGGTAAATAAAATATTTTTTAAATTTTTTTTGAAAAAAAACCTGAATTTTCTCAAAAAAAGAAAAAAAAATTGAAACCAGTGCCTTCCCTCGCCCCCTCCTCCCAGCGACCCTAACCTAGAACCTGAATTTTTTCTTCTTCTTCCTCCCTCCTCTTCTTCTTCTTCTTCTTCTTCTTCTTCTTCTTCTTGCTGCAGCAGGTGTTTTTGGGTTTTGGGTTAGGAATAGGAATAGGTCACTGGGGGGGGGTGTGTGTGGGGGAAGGATAGTGGGTTTCTTTTTTTTTTTGAGAAAATTCAGGTTTTTTAAATAAAAAATTATTTTATTTGCCACGTGGCAGACATTTGGCAGCCACGTGGCATCTATGTGACAGCCACGTCAACATTTAACAGATCAATGGATAGAAAATGTAACGGAGGTATTATTTTGAAATACAATAGTACTTAAGGTATGAAAGTGTAATTTTTTTTTTCAATTTTTTTTCTTTTTTTGAGAAAATTCAGGTTTTTTAAAAAAAATTAAAAAATTATTTTATTTGCCACATGGCGGACATTTGGCAGCCACATGGCATATATGTGGCAGCCACGTTAGTATTTAATAGATCAATGGATGGAAAATGTAACAGAAGTATTATTTTGAAATAAAATAGTACTTAAGGTATGAAAGTGAAATATTTTGAAGATGTTGTAAGAAATTGAAATAGACCCCAAACCTGAGGTATGAAAGTGTAATTTACCCTAAATAAATCTTCTACAAGATTTTTTAGGCATGTATTGGGTACTTGTATCTTATAGTTTTGTAGTGCATACCAAGTGTTTGCCGAAATGTTTGAACGAGATTGTTTTTTGCATACGAAAACTTCGTATGCATAGCAATGTTTTTAAAAATGATTGAATATGTTTTTTTTTCTCCACTTTGTGGTGCTTAAAAAGTCATGCATGGGGTACATTCAACCGCTGTCATTTTTTACAATGCTCCATAAAACACCATTGCATGTGTGGTAGAATGTTAGAGTTTCAAGGTATAGGCAGGGGTACAAACTAGGCGTGGGGTACATTCAAATGCATCATTTTGGGCACAATTCAATTGCACCATTGTGTTGAAAAATATTTAGAGTTGCAAAGTATAGGTAGGGGTATAAACTAGGTGGCGTGGGGCATATCGGTTACATTTAACTTCACCATTTTGGGCACAATATAATTGCACTATTGT